ATTAAATCAATAGTTTTTATGAGTCCAGATGCAATCTTAATGATTAGCAAAAACGTTGCCTAACTTTTAAAAAAACTCTAAGATAACAACTTTTTTTAAAAAAAAAAATATTGAGATGATAGTAGAATTGATTGATCTTAGTTCCCCAATGACATGTGTTATGGACTATATTAAGTTTAATTATTTTTTTTAATAAAAATATATGTTTATAAAATTGAACATCAACCTAAAAATAAACATTTATTTGAGATAGTGATAACCTTATGAAAAGCAATAAAAAATAAATTGTGTAGTTTATTTCTTAACTAATCTAATATTAAAGAATAAAATTAAGGAATTTTTCTAAAAAAAATCAAAGGATCATTTTTTTTTAAAAAAAATCATATTCATCCAGTGGTAAATAAATCAAACTCGTGAATCAGGTTACTCGTGTTAACACACTAAACTCGTGAATCAGGTTATGGATTGTAGCGAGATTATAATTTGTTTTGTTTTTCAAACTATTTTTTAATTAACTATATGATAAAAAAATAGACAATTTTTAAATCAAATACCATACCAATACTAAGATGTTGGAAAAAAAACAAAAAAAAAAGGTTAAATTCGTTAGATTTGTAAACTCTAGATCAATCGGCAAAATCTGTGAACATGTCAATGTATTTTATGAAGTTAAATAATATACCTAAACTGTTCTTTTACTGTACGAGGAGGAAATAGATTAGGCCACCAGAGATAAACCAACTATTTTTAAGTGATAAGTGCCACCTTTATAGAAAGAAGACAAATAAAACTACACGACAAAATCATATTTTTAACTACTGGGATGAGTTGCATGTATCAACAACTTTTTTAAATTAAATATTAATATTTAAATGATAAATTATATTATTACTCTTAGCTAACCTAATAATTACAAAAAAAACCTTAAGTGAAAAGATAGAATTACTCGTGTCAATGACTTAATGTTTTTTATATAAAGGATAAATTTATAATAAATCAAAAGGTCAAAAGAAAAACCTTTTGTTATGAGATCGATGATTTTTTGCTTCTAGGTATATTTATGTCATTTCACCGGAAAAGGATAAAAAACTTTCGAAGAATTCTCAAATGACAATTAAATCAAATAAAAATACTATTTTACTCCTAAAAATATAGCAATCTAGAGTTTTTTTTAAAGGATAAAATCATAATTCTACTATTAAAATCCACAATAAACAAAAGCAAATCCACTATAAAAATACTATACCTTTCAGCTTTTCTTTTAATTTATATTCGTGGCGTAGGATATACATGTGTATTGTATCAGAAAAGTAGCAATCCATCAAGAACCTTCCATCTCGTTAACCTGCTGTGTTTATTTCAAGATTTTCCGTCTAATCATTTCTAATCTTGGACAGTGATTATAATATATATACATCCCAAGAGAGCATATTTAGAGATAAATGTGTCGTCAAGTAAAAAGAGGCCAAGCAACAGAAAAAATATCAAAGCCATGGATATCTTCACTGTAGTTAGATTGAAAGAAGAAACTCTGTAATTAAACATTCAAGATTATGGGACACAGAGGAAGAAAGAGAATTTTCGTGTTGAATTTAAATTTAAAGCGAAGAAAAAATTTAAATTTTTAATTTTTTTTTAAAAACGCCTGTTAAACTCAAAAACAAATATGAAAAATATTTTATTCAAATATTTTATACATATTTTTTGCTATATATGAATTTCAACCACAGTTTTTACGAAATACATATCTAAATCCAACTAATTATAATTAAAAATATTTTAATTTTTTTTTTTAATAACAACCACAAAATTCATCTAAAACACAAATACACCCTAGCAAGCAAGGAAAACACCGTGGTTGTTTTTACTGTTTATTAGTTCATAATTCATTAGGGATTGTAATAATAAATTTCCTAATAAATTTTAATTTAATTCTTAAATTATTATTATTATTATTATTATTGCATAATTGAGCTCTTTCGAGCCAAAATTAGAGCCAAATTACATATTCTTTTTTTAAGGTGAGGGTTGAGTTGAAAGACAAAGTATTGAAATGAAAAAAATGAATAAAATAGGTATCAAATGTGTAATTTGTTTAAAATGTTCATTTTAGTCCCCCTATCTTTTTAAGTTATTTAGTAGCCTCCCCTATAATTCTTTTAAAAAATATATTTTGATACCGAACTTTATTTTTCTTCTTTTCTAGTTCTTTTTTAAGTGAAGGAGAGAAGGGTCGCTGAATTCTAGTTTAAAGAAAGAAAAATATTGTTGGGAAAGATTTTGGCCACCAGGCCACCAAAATAGTCGATTGTCATGTTAAAATGTTTTATATGATGAGAGAAGATTAAGATTATATGTTTTTTTTATCCACATTGAAACACCTAAAAAAAAAAGATTTGAACTTTATAATTTTTTTGGTATTAAGTTGATTTTCAGGTTTGGGTCTTTTTTTTTGTGTTTTTGGATGTCATTGATTGGTTTAACAAGGTCTCTAGGTTTTTTCTATGTATTTGTTTTTATTAAAAATGGATTGAAATGAGTTTTTTGTAAAAAAAAAACCTTGTTTCTCATGCCATAGGTGTTTCCCATGTGTTTTTGATAAAAAATGGGCTGAAATAAGTTTTTTTGTAAAAAACACCCTATTTCTCATGCCATACTAGTGGCTGGATTTTGAGATTTCAAGACAACGTTGTATGCCCCTTTAAACTTTTCTAAAAACTAAAGTTTCACATGTGGATTTTTTTTGTCATTAAATACAACCAAGTAAATGATATGTGTTATAATATTAAATATTTTAATTTACAATAGTTTCTTGATTTTTTCAGTTATATTTTAATTTATTATTAATTATTTTTTTTATTTATTCACATAATGACTCGTGATTTATTTAATTGAATATATGCATAAATTTCTCGATTTATATTTATGATTTTTTTATGTAAAACAACGCATTGAAAAACTTTACATGCTCAAGTTTTTTTATTATGCATTAATGCTTTTAATTTTATCATTATTCTTATAATTTTTTTATTATTTTTCAACTTTTTTATAAAACCTTTAATGTTTTCAATTTCATTTTACAATTGAAGTTGATAGTGTATTTTTTTTTTATACTTATTGATGTTTTTATATATATATATATATATATATATATATGTTTTTCTGTTTGTTATTGTTCTCTTTTTTTTCATATAAGCCAAACATTTAGTTGGTCCCTAGTTATTAAATTTCTCTTTTTTAAGAAAATTATGCTAACAATTTCTAAATATTTTACTGAAAAAATAATGCGACAGAAGCATAGCGCAATCACCAGCCTATTACCTCGCTTAAATCTTGATCAATATATTTAGAGAAACTAACAAACAATCCCTAACTTGTATCATGATTGTCAATTTCATCGCAAACCCAATTAATTTCTCTATCATCCCAAGTGTCATGTCAATTTCTCTCTGTTTCTCGGCGTCTACTGTTGGCTTTGTAAATTATTACACTACTTGCCCTGTAAAATGTATTTACATGGTGTTGGGAAACCATGGAGGGCGTCATGCATCAACTTTTAATATATTTAAACTTATCTACCGTAATAAAATATTTACAATTATTTTCCAATTCTCCTATTATACTAATATATTCCTTACCCTCATCTTGTTTTTTTTTAATAATTTTTTTTATAGCTATAAAAATTTGAAAAACCACTTGCACCAATCAACAATACTTTAAACTTGTGATTTTCAAAATTTTATAATTAATTATGAAGAAATAAAAAATAAAATTAGGATGGAGAATAAAACAAAACAAGACAAGATAAAAAATAAAAGGTAAGGACTAACTCAATATTTAATTATGATATTACAAATACTATAAAAAATCTTAACAAAATAAATTTAACAATACTAAAAATATTTATTAGTGATGACGATGACCGAAGAGGGGGTCACTTGTAGTTGGTGACTTGCATTTCAAGAAAAAATGACTCATTCTAGTTATTTTTGGTGATCTATGGTGATATTTTTGAATTCATTTCATCAATTTTTTTTAATATTCTTAATAGTGTTGTAATTGAAGCTTTTATATGTTTTCATAATTTTTTCCCTTTTTTATTGCAATTCATGTAGCTTATTTAATATAATTTTTTCATGTCATAATTGCACATGTGTCAATTGTATTATTTCATGCACTTCTTTTTAAATTTTGTTACTTTACAAGTTTTTTAAAAAACATGCTAATAAGCAAAGACACTTACACTAAGTTAATTGGATTTCACAAATTAATAATATTATTAAGTATTTATTTGATATTGTGGTAGTTTTTACGGTTATAGTTTAAGATACTGTTTGGGAATGCTGTGCACTAAAAAACTTAATTATTTTTTGCTGAACTTTAATATATTTTATATGTTTTGGATTGTTTTGATGTGCTGATGTTAAAAATAATTTTAAAAAATAAAAAATATTATTAACATGTATTTCAGCATAAAAAATTATTTGAAAAGCAACTACAACGACGCTGCTAAACAGACTCTAAATAAATAGGTTTAAAAAATACTTTTAATTATGGTTTTCAAAAAATATTTTCTTGATTAAAACTGTTTTGAGATAAATGTTTACTTATACAATAAATAAAATATATAAATAAAAAATATATTATTTTAATTTTTACAAAGACACAATGCAATATATATATATATATTACCTGTACTCTACAAAAACCACCATCGTATCAAATGATCTCAAACTGGTAACACCAAGATAGCTTTCTCTTGTCATAGCTGTCTTTTGGCATGATTGAAACTGTTACAAACAAGTCTCGAAAACACTTTTCCAAAACTTCATTTCATTTCTGGTAAAAAAAACTTTCAAAACTATGAAACATAGGTGTTATCCAAACGGAGTCTCCTAACAAGTGGAGGAAAATAAAAGAGGTGAGAGAAAAATAACAGAAAAAAGAAGAAAAAAAGGTGGAGGAAGAAGGCATCTTTTTCTTTTTGTGAGTTTTGGTTCCGGGGAGCGCGAGATAGACACGCGGGGTGAGAAGGGACCCACCATTTTGGTGTTGTTGGATGGTACTGTTGCTGTCTCTCTCTCCCCCTCTAATTCTACATTACTTTTTTTTACTTTCATGTCCAGGTAAATAAAAGCACTAAAGATTGTTGATTGCTTCTATCTTTCTATGTACTATACCTCTCACCTTGCCATTTCCACATCTCTTCCACATCATCATCGTCATCATTACACCAACTTTTCGCTCACTTGACATCACTTTCCGGCAACAAGTCCGATCTCTTTTCCTTCTCTTTAGATAGGTTTATTAAATTACTTCCTGGCAAGTTAAGTCTTTTTTTGCTTACTTTTCTTTATATGATTGATTCAACTGAGGAAATTCTAGAGCTGGAAGTCGGCTAAGGGTTTTTGGTTTTTTGTTAAGTGGGTTTTGGAGGGATAGGTAGTTTGATTAAAGGGTAATCTGGTATGTGGGTTGCGGTTAACTGGAATCATGGGTGTGTGGGTGTGGTTTTTTTGTACTTTTGGGGAAGAAGCGACGCTGATTAGGTGTGATTTTAATCTAAAGCTTTCGTCTTTTTCGGTTTAGTTTTTCTGGGGTTTTGCTGTTTTTCTTTTTAGTTCTCATTGTTGGTTCAGTTTGTGAAATTTTGGATCTTTTGGGTACTCGTTATGGAGGCTAGATTTGGAGGTGAAGCTCATCATTTCTATGCTACTCCCCCCTCCGATATGCGGACAGTAGGGAAGAGAGGTTTAGAATGGGATTTGAATGATTGGAAATGGGATGGCGATCTTTTTATTGCAAGCCCTTTGAATCCGGTACCACCAGCCGGTATCAGTAGGCAGTTTTCCTCTCTTGGGGCCGGGACAGGAATTCTGGCCACCGGTAATTCGTCCAACAGTTCATCCTCATGCTCCGATGAAGTGAATCTGGGAGCTGAGAAAGGAAAGAGAGAATTGGAGAAAAGGAGAAGGGTTGTTGTCATTGATGATGACAATTTGAACGATCAAGAAACTGGTGGCCTTAGTTTGAAGCTTGGTGGTGAAATGGATGCAGGGAATTGGGAGGGAAGCATCGGAAAGAAGACTAAATTAGCTGGGAGTGGCTTGAGCCGTGCAGTTTGTCAGGTGGAGGATTGTGGGGTTGATCTGAGCAATGCCAAGGACTATCACAGGCGGCATAAGGTTTGCGAGATGCATTCCAAGGCTAGCAAAGCTCTCGTGGGAAATGCTATGCAGCGTTTCTGTCAGCAGTGCAGCAGGTATGTGTTTAAGTGCTCGATGCTCTGTTCTTTATTGTTTATTTACTGCCCTACCAGAACAGGTACATGTTATGAACATAAATAGTAATATCTTTGACATATTATGGTTTGCAGTACCTTATATTCCTCCAAAAATATCCTTTTAACCGATGCCGTGTCAACTTTTTTGCAGGTTTCATGTCCTTCAAGAGTTCGATGAAGGAAAGAGAAGTTGTCGTAGACGTCTGGCTGGCCATAATAAACGGAGGAGGAAGACAAATCCTGATGCTGTTGGCAATGGAAGTTCGATGAATGATGATCAGACCAGTGGCTATCTGTTGATAAGTCTCTTGAAGATACTCTCAAACATGCATTGTATGGAACTCCATGCTTCTCCTATTAGAACTTATCAGAATTAATTCCTCGAGGATTCCCACTTTGTCCATTGATATTAGCTTGATCTGCTGTTTCGTGTTGTGGGCTTCATTTGCTCCCTCTAAACCTGGGTCACTCTTTATCATCTTGTTGGATGAGTAACATGTATTTGATATTTAATAATTTTGTCCCTTTTGAACTGCAGCCAATAGGTCAGACCAGACAACTGATCAGGATCTGTTATCTCATCTTTTAAGGAGCCTTGCAAGCCATGACGTTGAACATAGAGGAAGAAACATCTTTGGGCAATTGCAGGAACCTCGAGATATGAGCACATCATTTGGAAACTCAGCGGTAGATTCAACTTTACTCTCAAATGGTGAAGGACCCTCAAAGCCTTTAAAACAGCATCCGACAGTACCTATGTCTGGTATGCCGCAACAAGTTAAGCATTTGCATGATGCTAATGGTGCAAACATACAGACCGCATCTTCCTTGAAACCTAGCATTCCAAACAACTTTGCAACGTATTCAGAAGTTCGAGAGAGTACTGCAGGACAGGTCAAGATGAACAACTTTGATTTGAATGACATTTATATTGACTCAGATGAAGGCACTGAAGATATAGAGAGATCACCTGCTCCTGTGAATGCAAGGACTAGCTCCCTTGATTGCCCTTCATGGGTACAACAAGACTCCCATCAGTCAAGTCCTCCTCAGACCAGCAGAAATTCAGATTCAGCTTCCGCACAGTCACCTTCTAGTTCCAGTGGAGAAGCTCAGGTATACTGGCACCAAGAATATATTCCTATAGTCCCATTGAAAGTAATATTTTAGCACTATGATGTTATATCATTCTAGAGTAGCACAATTGTCCCAAAATTCTCCGTTTTAAGTAGTAAGGCATTTCTTTTTAGAAGAACATCTCACCTTTCATCTGAGACTTGGTGAAATGTTGATTTCTTGTATTTGTTCCTAGATTTATATTTCATTATGCAGATGAAGCGTGTGTCCTGTCTTTTGACTTTCATCAGTAAACCTTTTCCCTTTTCTACCATTCAGAGCCGCACAGATCGAATAGTTTTTAAATTATTTGGGAAAGAACCAAATGATTGTCCTTTTCTCCTGCGTTCCCAGGTACTCAAAATTTAGTTTGTTCAGTGCTGCTGTTTGATGTTTCTTTCCTTACAAAATATGATTCTCTGAAATGTTTGGGTTTTCAGATTCTGGACTGGCTATCTCACAGTCCCACTGATATTGAAAGCTATATTAGGCCTGGCTGCATCATTCTGACCATTTATCTTCGTCAGGCTGAGGCTGCGTGGACTGAAGTAAGATTCATGCACTCTGATCATTGTTATTGATCCAAACTTCTCCAGACAACATTTGTGGCCTTACAATTTAATTTTCATTTGTATAGCTTTGCTGTGATCTTGGCTCCAGTTTGAGCAGGCTTCTGGATGCATCGGACAATACTTTCTGGAGAACTGGATGGGTCTACATTAGGGTGCAACATCAGATAGCATTTGTTTATAATGGTCTGTTGCCTTTGATTGTTCAAGTAATATAGAAATCTAGAAGAATGGCTTAGTAGTAAAAAGACTTATGAATGAAATATTGTGAATTTTGTGTTGCAGGTCAGGTTGTTGTTGATACATCCTTACCTCTCAGAAGCAACAACTATAGCAAAATTTTAAGTGTCAAGCCAATTGCCATATCTGCATCTGAGAAAGTTAAATTTTTTATTAAGGGCTTCAACTTGTCTCGGCCTGCCACAAGGTGATGATTGCTGGTTTTCATATGACTTAGAATTGTTTAGTAGAAGCTTTGGTTTCCTATATTTTCTTTGGTTTCCTATATTTTGTATAGTCTCTTTTTTATTAGTAGAAGCTTTGGTTTCCTATATTTTGTGTAGTCTCTTTTTAATTGTGTTGGTTTAATGTGCCACTAAGCTACCTTTGTGCTTTCCTCTTCTGTTTTTCAGATTACTCTGTGCGGTAGAAGGAAACTATATGGTTCAAGATAATGCTCAGGAGTTGATGGATGATGTTGGTAGCTTCAAAGGTCATGATGAGTTCCAATGTGTGAACTTATCTTGCTCTATCCCAACATTGACTGGAAGAGGATTCATTGAGGTGTTGCCTTCTGCTTCTGATCTCAATCCTGTTCTTTTCTTATCCTTACTTATCCAGCATTTGATATATGCTAGTTTCAAATCTATGGTTTTTTTTTCCTTCTATGCTAGTTTCAAATCTATGGTTTTTTTCCCCTTATTTCCACTGAATACGAGTGTTTATTAAAGTGGAACTTAATAAGTGAACAGATTGACTATTGAAGTACTTTGAATGTGGCTTTGTGAATTAGATATATCTGGGTTGATTTGGGGATAACTTTGTTACTTTCTCAAGGAGATTATGGACTAGATGTATCTATGCTCGTCTGGAGTGAAATTCATTCCCATCTCAAAGATAATTCTTTCTTGAAACTGTATTTTAAGTTAACCCCTATGTTGTGTCATCTCGATTCTTTGATATTTTCAAGAAATTTGCTTTCGTAGAGTACTTGGTACTTTTATGAACATGCCTCTTTGTATGCTAAGTTCAATCTTTTTTCTATCCAGATTGAAGATCATGGCTTTAGCAGCAGCTTCTTTCCCTTTTTAGTTGCAGAGGAAGATGTATGTTCAGAGATTCGCATGCTTGAGAGTGCATTGGAGTTTACTGAAACAGATGCGGATCTGGGGGAAACTGAAAAAATGGAAGCCAAAAATCAAGCGATGGACTTCATTCATGAAATGGGCTGGCTTCTTCACAGAAGCCAGCTAAAGTCTAGATTGGGCCACTTGAATCCTAGCATGGATCTCTTCCCTTTAAGAAGATTCAATTGGCTCATGGAGTTCTCCATGGACCATGGATGGTGTGCTGTTGTGAGAAAACTCTTGAACATACTGCACGACGGAATTGTTTGTACTGGAGACCAGTTGTCTCTGAATGAAGCATTATCAGAAATGGGTCTTCTTCACAGAGCGGTGAGGAGGAATTCTAGGTCTCTTGTGGAACTTATCAGAAATGGGTCTTCTTCACAGAGCAGTGAGGAGGAATTCTAGGTCTCTTGTGGAGCTCCTATTAAGATATGTTCCTGATAAATTTGGAGCCAAAGACAAGGCAATGGATGGTGGAAGCCATGAGAGCGTTTTGTTTAGGCCAGATGTCATAGGCCCTGCTGGTTTGACACCTCTTCACATTGCAGCTGGTAAAGATGGTTCTGAAGATGTACTGGATGCATTAACTGAAGATCCTGGAATGGTAATTCTTTTTCTAATAAACTAATTTCTGGACTTTCTGAGGAGAGCTTTCTCATAATTTTGCATTTATACTCTGGCATGAATATTTACCACCACCAGTTGTATTTTCTGCGCCTCTTCAATCTGGATCGCTGTGTTCGTACTTGTGTTGTCACAGCACTAATCAGTGATAGTAATTGAAATATAATCTAATATTTTGTACTTGTGTTGTCACAGCACTAATCAGTGATAGTAATTGAAATATAATCTAATATTTTTTGATTGCTTGATTTGCAAACCTAATTGACGAGTAGGATTGCTTTAGATGGAGAAGTTAATCAGGAGTTGTTGATTTAGCTATATGTTCCCCTCATTTTATACTGTTCCTAGAGTTCTCTTTTTAATTCAATATAGTGATGATAGACAATGTCTTGAAGCGAATCTTGCTTCATTTGATTGTTTTATATTCTGGCCTTGAATATAGTGGCCTTTTGTTTTGTTATCATTCCACTTCTCAAGGTTTATATTACTTGTCTTTATTTTGCATAGCCAGTGGATGGTTTTCCAATTCCTCCTAGTGCCTTCATTTGTTGCTGTTGTTTTTTTTATATATATTAAAATTATGTCTGGACAGGAAGCAAAATTTTTTTAACAGCAGTCAATGAATAAGATCTTGGAAATTGAACCCAAGACTGCTTCTCAATCACTGTTACATATCTGGCGGGGATTTATAGTTTGTCTTTGTTTTATATGAGACCTTGAATGTTACATTTCAGGTGGGTATTGTAGCATGGAAGAATGCCCGTGACAGCACAGGCTTCTCACCTGAAGATTATGCTCGCTTGCGTGGTCACTACTCGTACATCCACCTGGTACAAAAGAAAAGTAAGAGACAAGTTGTTGGGCATGTGGTGCTTGACATCCCTAGCAATCTTTCAAGCAGTAACATTACCAATAACGAGAAGCAAAATGAAGGGTTGACCAGTGGCTTTGAGATTGGACATACAGAATTGAGACCCATTCAGCGCAACTGCAAGCTTTGCAGTCAGAAGTTGGTTTATGGAACAGCCAGCAGGTCTCAGCTGTACAGGCCTGCAATGTTCTCAATGGTGGCAATTGCTGCGGTTTGTGTCTGTGTGGCTCTTTTATTCAAGAGTTGTCCTGAGGTGCTGTATGTGTTCCGTCCATTCAGGTGGGAATTGTTAGACTACGGAACAAGCTGAGACCCGTTAATGCTCATTGTAATGACAAATGAATAGGTGTCTGTATTATTTTGTATGCATCTAGACTGTAAAGTTGAGATTACCTGTATAACCATCGACTTGGACATGCACAGTTAAGATTCAGTTATGTTATTGACATATTTATACCATCAACGTCAACTTTCAGCAGTAATTATAACCGTTGTGGGCGTGGTGGGTGGCGTTATATGAATTTTAGTGCTTGATTGGGAATTTGTATCGAAAATTTTTGAATATATTTTTGTTAAAAATATTTTTTTTTATATTTTTAATATTGTTGTGATATGGTAAAATTAAAAATAAATTTAAAAATAAAATAAAATATTATTTTAATATATTTTTAAATGAAAAATACTTTGAACATTAAGCATGCATTATTATAATCCTTAAACAGTCCTTAAATCTCCTTCATTTCCTCGTTTTAATACCCTAACAAAAGAGATTAAATTTCCTCTGTTCTCCCTTCATTCCCTACAATCCATGCACTCAACTCCGTGGATGAAAGGCAAAAACATAACACACAGATAAAGGATACGGGGAAAAAAAAAATACTGGATTAGATTTTGATCTCAGAACAGAGGCCAGCAATACAAATGTGGATATATTGTTAACACGTGCGCAAAGCAATAAAACGTTAATTTATCATATGGCTACCGAATTACTTTTTGGTGCAATCTGTTGGCTTAAAAGACAGGGACTTCCCTTGAATGTTATATTCTACCAAGAAGTTCATTTGTGCAACGTTTCCGTAGATTGAAATTCCAGATGTAGTAGAGGCGAAGGCCAAGCACACAACATCGTCTGAAACTTGAACGAAGGTGTTAATGGGTTTAAGTTTCACATCCGCACCAGTGAAATGTGCAGTGATTGCAGGAACCTTGAGATCAGAAGTAGCGCTATAACAAACACTCAGAAATCCACTTGGGTCCTCAGCACGCCGTCCCTCAACTTGTTTGCCTACCGCTGTTGAAAGATCGGAGAAGAAATCATCTGGAACAATTGTCAAAGTTGTACCTGAATCAATGATGATGTTTCCCTCACCGGTTCCCAAAGAAGAATCGCCGAATTTTATTCTCTCATTTCCAACACTCATGGCTTCTAGAGTTAGAAAGTAGAAGGTGGACATGGTTTCTGAAGATAACAATGGGGTAGATTGAACTCCAGGACCTGAAACAACAGCGTTTCTACCAAAGTTTAGTTTGCTCGAGTTTCCAGCTAGGGAGGAAAGTGGCACCAAACAGTAGGAGAATTTGCCACCGACTGAAGAACCCATTTGAGAAATAAGGGACAGTGGACCGGCTCCAAGGCCAACGATACCTGAACCTTTGTTACTGAAGGTTCCATCATTTTCGTGTCCACAACCAATGACAGTTTTAGGGAAAGACACTGGACTGCCTGTTGTGGAATCCAAAGTGATGGTATCAGAAGCAACATTTCCCATGGTGTACGATCGATCACCATAAGAATACTGGTACCGGCAAATATTACTAGAGCAAGTACTTTGATCCAGCAAGCTGCATTGCCTTGCGTCACAAGAAAAATCTCTGTAAGTTTTGGAAGACTTTGGATCAAAAAGAGGATCCACTTGTTTGTAACATCTCTCGCATGGCTTGCACTGTGTCCATATCAGATCACTTCCTGTATCTGCTATGCCCATAATCTTAAAAGGCGGTGTCCCCAAGGATAAACTCATGAGGTATTCACCTCCGTTGGATGTAACATCAGATTCAGCCGCTTTAGGAGAGACCGAAGCAGCAGCAATTGGATCGAAGTGGCGGACACGACTAATGGATCGACGCAAAGCATTGTTGATACGCTGGAGGTCAGTCTCTTCAGAGTTGTAGAAAGGGGACAGAGGTGAATCACGGTGGATTAGGTCCACAGTGAAGCCAACCTTGCGGGCATAGATGCAGCCAAAGCTAGAAACACACAGAAGTGCAATTGCAAGAGCCAAAGAGAGAGGAGATTGAAAAGCTGCCATTGTGGGAATATTCAGGCTTGCTATAGAGACGTCGAGGATGTTTGCTTGATGGATTCAAGGTGGGAATGGGCTGTATAAATATCTACAGATTTTGAGAGTAATTATTGCCTTTCTATATTTATCCGGATGCATGCAAGGAGTATTTTTGGAGTTCGTATCTTAAATGGATTCGATGCATATTCGTATTCCAATTCAATGTACATCGATTCTCATCTAGTACTCTTCGGCTGGCATGGATTTACCTTTTAAATGCTTTCACTTTGTTAATAAAATCTTTAGGTGAATCGTATTTCAGTATAATGAACATGAATTTATATAAATGGTAAGAACCACCTTTCGCTTGAATTTGGAACATTTTCTTTCTGAGGTACAAGTAATATAAGAATCTCTTCACCATTAATGTACTCTCTGGTTAATTTGGTTTCTGAACATAGCCTCCCCCCTTTTCGGGAGGAGTAACCATCGGCTAAAACCAATTTAACATTAATGAATTGTTGATTTAGCCAGATTCATGCTCATTAACTGCACATATATTCTGTCAAGTTCAAAGAAAGAAAGCAAAATGCAAATCTTTTACTCCATAATTGAAGACTGTTTCTTAATTTGATGACTTTTTTTTCTTTTTTTTGGGAAGGTGAATTGTATATTTAAGACTAAGATTTTGCATTTTCTTTCTAGAGTTCTACGCAACAACTCAAGTCATTAACAATTTACCCTACATGGCTCATTTCTATAATAAATTAATAATGATGATGATGATGATGAATATAAGGCTATGGCTAATATAGTAAACGTTGTGATTTTCTTTCCACTGAATATATTTTGTTAATTACATTTATTTTTCTTAATTATATCAACTTTTTTTTTCTCAAAAAATATATTACCTTCCAGCCCCGTGCACCACCCTCCCTCCCTCCTATCTCCATCCTATTTTCTTTTACTATTTTATTTCTAAAAAATTATCTGGTTTGAATTTTCGCTGGCAATAGCCCTTATGAGAACAAAACCAAAAGAGTTGGATGGTGGCTAGAGCTGTGAACATTTACAGTGGTTAAAGAGATGGTGGTGAAGGGTTAGGGTTTTGGTGGGATGTGATTTCTCTAGGAATTAGATTTTTAATTGAACTAAAAAGTGATAAAACAATGTTAAATAGAGTGATTTTTAATTGAAAAATAATAAATTATTAAAAAAATTGATATAATTTGGGATAAAAATCTTTAATAAATTTATTTAAATCTTATATAAAACAAAATAGTAAATTAGTACACAAAACGTTAATCAACAATGACAAATCATTAATCACTTAAAACCCTTTGACAGGGTAAAATAATTATTTTAAAGAAAGATTTTTACAAATTAGGATGGAAATATTTAGATAAAAAAAGAATGGAACTTCAAACAAATTAATGTATTAATATGCTTCTGAATAAATAATGATGATTGCAGGCTTAAACCCTACTTATAGTCGCCCAATATTTAAGAAAATGGTGAGAATTATAAAGAAAAAATTTATTATAATTGAGCTGAAATGTATTAAAAAAATATTATTAACTAATATTGGATTAAATCTTGTTTGACAATGTGGTTGCGAATATTTTTTAAATAATTTTTCATGTTAAAATACATGTCAATGATTTAAAAATATTAAAAATATATTAATTTAAAGTAAATAAAAATATTAATTTTTTTCAAAAATATTTTTAATACACAAAAACAAACAAGCTAGGTTTTACATAAACTACTTTGCTAAAAATAAAATAGGTTTCGTTTATGTAAATTGAGGAAAAACAATTCTTCCCCTATTTATGGCTGCTGGCCGACGGTTTCAGCATGAAAAGAGAGGGGAGGGCACTATTTCTTCATTTTTAAATTTCTGATGAGAAAGCTGGTGAATGGCAAGAGAAGTGAGGTTTTTGGGTAGGAATTGCTACTAAAATTTGTGGATTAAGAAGCATAGAAACTAAGAGGCCAGAGAAAGAGGCTATCATTAACTTAGAGAGAGAAACAAAGGATTTTGGAAGGAAAAGGAAGAGTTGGAAGAAAAGCTTGCAAGGAATCAAGTAATATTGCAGATTTATTAATAGTTATTTATTATTAATCAAATCTTAATAGGAGATTTATTTATTTGGAGTTTAAAGTCACAATAACTATATTAAATTGGTCGTATTTTATACTATAAATACGACTTCCTTCATATTGTCTAAACCACTTAATTTTCAAGAATATTATAACAAAATTATTTCTTGAAAATGGATTATTATAAAAGATATTTTTTCTCTAAAATCTGTACAAAAATGTTTTGTTACAACGAGCGGGTTTTGAGCTTCCTCATGAGACTCTGGATTACGATTGCATGCTTGCATATTACTAGTTATTGAATCCAATAGCTAGACTAGTAGACCGCTATGAACCTGTTCATTGTGCTAAATTAATGTATATTATAATGTGGATATATAATTTAATAATTCATCATAAGAATTAAAGGGGTGAACTTCTAAAGGGATAAAAAATATAATTAATCGTGAACATGCGCCCCACCTAGATATAGATAACCTGCTTAGGATCTAACCAAGAACGAATTTAATCACTATATATCAAAGCTTATTCTAAAATATTCTTAACATTAAGATCCAAAAATAAAATAGAAGGTGAAGATGTGACAATTTATGTACGTAAACTAACAAACGAGTAAATTGTGTAGAAATATAAAGATTAATTTAAGGAAAACATATAGATATTTTTAAAGAATAATATATATATATATATATATATATTAAAGCCCTAACCGATCCCTCAAATAAATTAAGAAATCTCTCCATTTTTCAAAATTCCATCAAATCCATGCCGAGCAGGTTCTTATTCTTCATGGGCTGCAGCAATTATCAGTACTAAATTAAGCTTGAAAAAGGGAAATGAAAAAAGCTGGAACTTTACAGCTTGTTCATTCGAATGGTCTGCTTCTTGGGGGTTCCGAATCAGAATCAACATCTATGCTTTCAAGTCTCGACTCCAAAAGGATTCGAGCAACCACCGAATGACCACGTAATAAAGAACCCCAAGTGATATTTTAAGGAATAATGGGTGTTCCTTAGCACATGATTTTAGGATTTGTTTTTTAATATTTCTTTTGTATTTTTCATATATTGTTTTCTGGTGGCTCCATACACAGTGTGTGGTGCCATACATTGCACGCGGAATTGGATAGAGGACACCCTTCTTGTTGGTTAAGAAAAGAAACATGGTTTTCAATTTTAGAATTTATAAAATTAATCATGTGTAAATTAATCCGAATACATATATTAATCTAAAAAAACAATGGAGGCCTGTTACAATATTGTTATTAATAATTTTGTCTCTATCGACAGCTATTTCGGATTTAACAGGTTTCTCCACCAGAATTGAGGGAAGGCAAAGTAAAATAAAAAAGTACAACAACCTAAAATAAATTATATATTCCTCTTCAAAAAAATACAGGTGATTATATATAATTGTAAGATTTGTAACAAAGAAATTAAATGGAGAATTAAAAGAGTGCAGTAAGCCTTTTAAAATATAGTTGTTAGGAAAAATAATTGTTGGGAAAAAATATAGCTATTAGGAAAATAAATTACAAGTGCTTCAAAATGATAATTTTAGTTTATGGTTTATTTTGCTTAGCCTAATCTTATACACGTGAGCATATCGTTATTTCTATTTGGTTATTAGCCCATATAATAATTTATTATATAAATACTAGAAAAGTTTTAAAAACCATGTTTTTAGCTTATAATTCCTCTTGCTCAACCCAATCTTATGTGTATAAACCTATCAATCTTTCTAGTTAGTTATAACTCTAAATCATAGTTTATTATATGAATACTTAAAAAAGATCTTGTTTTTCTAATGTGGTATTGAAAGTCTATTATATCTAAATACTTCAATTTAAAAATAAAAAGATGTTGTTTTTCCAATATGGTATAGAAAGCTCTTGAAATAACTTCTTAAATAATATTAAATTATATTATTTACAGTAATCTATAATTATATATTAATAATTACAATATAATATATTAATAAAATTCAAACCTACCTCTAATTAGGGGGGAAAAAGAATGCTAAAATTCTCAAAAATAAAAATTTTAGTTCCTAAAATTTAGGTTATTTTGTATAATATATTCTAAGCTCTTTTTTTCATTACGTTCTTATTTAGATACCATGTAAAATACTAAAATATATAATAAAACACTTAATTAAATCACTCTTAAACTATGTAATCCAACACATGTACTTTATTTTGACCATCAAAATTTTTAAAAAGCTTAAAAGAGGGCCAATAAAATAAATAGAGTACTAAAACCCAACAATAATTAAATTACATAAAAATTTAATAAACTATTGAATCGAAGCCTTAGTTCAATTTTAATAATTTTTTGTCTTACATTAATTTTTAACTCTTTTGGAAGAATACTAATAATAATAATAAAATATTTATTTAAAAATACTATTTAATTATTTTTATTCATGCGTGTAATAATGTTAACTTAATTCACATCTCATATAATTGAAAAATATATTTAAAATAAAAAAGGTTCATAATAATATCATATTGAGTGAAAATGTTCTAGTAGTTACTATTTTAAAGAGTGAAGTACATATAAATTTTAAAAGGTAATTCAATTTATGTTCCTAATTAATATTTACTTAAATCCATTAAAAACAATTCTGTATGGTTCAAAGACTAAAGGTATTTTAATTATAATCATGAATATCCATATAAAGTTATTTGAAAATCAAAGATGTTTATTTAATAAATATTGAAAATCATTCATTTTATAAATAACTCTAAGCAATTTACTAAAAAATAAAAATAAAAAAATCATAAATTTGTTAAATAATAAACGTGTTTCACACAATTCAAGAAATTAGTTAGCAAGAAAAGTTGAATAAAGACAGCTTGCAAAAGAATGAATACGTGAGCAAAACATTTCATCTATCCACTGGATAGTTAGACATTCTTTCCTTCCTTATTACAACATTTGATGTCTGTATGCATCAGTGGAGGTTCCCTTTGGACCCCTAGCAATATTTATCATTGCCAGAAAACAGAAGGAAACGAAGAACAATGAACTGTGGGTAAAGGAATCACAATTCGGAATATAAACCATGGGTCTTGATCGTATTTACATGCTTAATTGAAATAAATTCATGAAAATTAATTGTAAGTCTTTGCATAAATGTGAGAGATCAAGAGCATGATGCTGGAGACATTGAGTAATTTTGTGGGGCAAATGGGAGGATTGAACCCAAAACAAAGACAGAAACGGTGGTGCGTGAGATTGGAGACCTTAGGAATGAGACACTATCCAAACTCAGAATTGAAAAGTTGCATGAATGACAACGCATAAACCACAGCCTGTTTACAGACGCTTGACCATTTCTGTTCAGTTACGAGACCCCAAGTCACCCAACAGGACTTCCTTTCCACCAGAGCACAGTGCATTGATTCTGCTTTTATCAGTACCCTTTTGGGCTTTTACAAAGCTGTTTTATCTGCTCCTTTTCCCCTCTTTTCCTTGCTAGCTAGGCAATCCCTTTGGAACATGGCACTCCCCTCACGATGGCCTTACTGACATTTTAATCATCTGTATCGCGTTTTCTAATCTTACAGGTATAAAATACACTCTCCCCATCAAAGCCCGCCAACTCATCCACTCTCAAAACTTCTTGGCTACTCTAACAATCTAACTAAGATGGAGATTGCGAAGTATCCCTCGGCCTGCCTTCCTCTGGCCTTTGCTCTGCTTCTTTGTCTTGCTGTTCCTACAGGTAAGCAAGTTTTGCATCTCATGTTATATGTTTTCTTTTAATTTCAAGTTTAACGTATTACTTAAAATTGTATGTCTCCCACCATGCAGAGTCACAATCCTATGGCCATGGAGGAAACCAAGACCAGCTCAGGGTAAAGGACATACAATGTATCTGTGATTGGGCCATAGCATTACACCACCCCTTTATTTATTTATTTCCCCTCTCGAAAGTCATAATAAATCAATAAATGCTTTATACTTAATCTGTAGGCAGATGATGTTCAGGGCAGGTGGTGCATTGCTAAACCATCGGCATATAATTTTGAGCTTTTGCGCAACATAGAATATAGCTGTGGGCAAAATGGAGTGGACTGTGGGCAAATTCAACCAGGTGGTAGCTGCTTTCGTCCAGACACTGCCTTCGGACATGCCTCCTACGCTATGAATCTCTTCTTCAAGGCTGCAGGAAAGCACCCATGGGATTGCCATTTCAATGGTACTGGCATTGTTGTTACTCAGGACCCATGTAAGTCACCTGATGAGATTCTTGTACCTGGCTATTTTTCAAATAACGATATTCAATTTGTCCTTGTGATTGAGCAACAACTAACCAGTATAAGGATGAATCTCATGTCTTTTGCAGCCTTCGGTGCATGCACCTATCCCCTGTAATGCCAAGAGAGCTCGAGACAAGAAGGGTCTTCATATTTATTAGTAGTTTGAATAGTTTCTCATTAAAGGATCCAAAATTATGATTTCCCATCTTGTAATGGGTAAAAGAGAGACGATCTCGTTTTGTGAAACGACGATGAATGGTGTCCATGCATTCCTTTAACTTCGACTATCTTCTTGTTTATATTTTCAAAGTGCAGTTTTTTTCTTCTTTTGGAAACTGAAAAACATAGACTGCTCGGATTTGTTCAGATCGAAGACAACATTTTTCGTAGAGCTTAAAGCACAGAAGTTTTCTCCACCGATTACATTTCAAAATGATAAAAATGATAGACAGGGGTCCAAAAATTTTATGATTGCATCTCAGTTGATTGGCCTTTTCCTAGCAAGTAGAAAGGTGTGCTGAGCATGTGTTTTTTTTTTGGATTGATAGAGGTTGTGGTTTAAAGTGTTGTTTTGATTAAAAATATTTTAAAATAATTTTTTTATTTTTTAAAAAAATTATTTTTTATATCATCACATTAAAATAATCTAAAAATATACAAAAAAAATTAAATTTTAAAAAAACACGAATTGTACCATGTTCCTAAATGCATTAATCACATGATTCATTAAATATCAAATCATAAGCAATAGATAAATTGATAATATTTTTTAATTTAATTATAAACTTAAAATAAGATCCATATTAAATTATATTTTTTAAAAAATATTAATATAAAACTATATGAAAAAAATATTTTTTTAATATCGAGATTATAATATATTAAATCGGCTAGTTAATTGTCAAATATGCAACCTAAAAATAAATCTATAATAACTTTATAAAAAATTAAATTAAAATAAATTATAAAAATTAATCCTAATTTTTAAAAATTCAATGTTGAAATAAATTTAAAAATGGTAGGAAGACACGTCTTTTTACCTTGCCCAAACCATAAGCAATGGTAGCGGCAGTGGGCTCATTGATAATATACGACATTCAAACAGGCATCCTTTGTGAATCTTTGAAGCAGGGACAGTGACCACTGCATTCTTCACGGGGCTGGCAAGATAAGCCTCAGCAATGTCACGCAGCTTAACGAGCACCGTTGAAGAGACATTATAACAAATTAAGTGACAGATATTCTGCACATATTAAACTCAGACATCCAACAACTGAAGCAGGATATGGTATGATAAGAAATTTGTTGTTTTTTATTGATTTTGTGCAGAGGGTTGGAGTCGGGTTATGAATACCCGAATACTTGAAACTCAATCAGGTCATGAGTTTCAGATGAAGTATGGATAATAATTTAAAATTTGAGTTCAAGGATGAATAATGCAAACTTATACCCAGTGCCATTGTCTTTTACACAATGCGAGTTTCAGTTGTTTGATGGTTGAGGACTCCAAGGAGATCATGAAATTCATCACTGATCTCCTTGTAATATGAATCAGGATTGGTACGGGCATCGATCATAACTTTCATTGTGTTCATAATCGTAGACGTCAGTTTAGGAACTTTACGGGCATTCCTTCAATAAGGCTTCCCCATAAAGAGCTGATGACATGATCTAGCTGATATACATTACGTGTCATCACAGAAAGAGAAACTTCACCAGCCTGTCATATCATGCTGAAAACTGAAAGGAAAGCCATGCGAATCAAATTGCAATGCAGTAATGAACGGTCTTGATTGAAAACAGAGAGTACAACAGTTTGTTTCGTCCAAGAACACATGACTACATTTTTGCTGCTGTCTACAGCTACCTCGTGCAAGCTCAACAGGCATTTGTTACTTCCATTGCCGTCATTTCAACCAAAATTATGACACTTTTTCACACCGCCGACACTGGGAAAAAAAAAAGACGGAAAAAAAAAGACCCAAATAGTAAAAGAAAGGAGGATGAATAGGGAAGGTATCGAAGTGTTGACCATGGCAGATAGCTATTGATTATAGACCAACAGCTAGAAAACAAGTCAAATTATTCATCAAGGACCAATAAAACAGGCATCAAACTAAAGGGATATGATAAATCACTCAAGCTTGGGGCTTCTCCCATTTGAGAGGCTTGACAACCTCCCAGGTGAAGTCTGGGTCATCCCTTCCAAAATGTCCGTATGCGGCTGTCTTCAAGAACCTATTGCCACCCCTCTTGAGATCCAGGTTGACGGTCATCATTCCAGGCCTAAAGTCAAAGTTCTCCTTCACAATCTTAAGGATCTCCTTGTCAGGAATTTTTCCGGTGCCATAGGAGTCCACAAAGACAGACAAAGGCTCGGGTACACCAATAGCATAGGAGACCTGCACAATGCACCTCCGAGCAAGACCATTTGCTACGATGCTCTTGGCAGCTTGCCTAACAATGTAAGCACCACTCCTATCCACCTTAGTTGGGTCCTTCCCTGAGAAAGCACCACCACCATGGGCTCCCCAGCCACCGTAGGTGTCAATAATGATCTTGCGACCAGTGAGACCTGCATCACCATGAGGGCCACCAATAACAAAACGGCCAGATGGGTTTAGGTGGAAGATAGTTTTCTCATCAAGGTACTTCTCAGGGATGACAGGCTTAATGACATGCTCCTTTAGATCAGCAGCAATTTCATCATTTGTGACAGTCTCATCATGTTGAGTGGAGATGAGAACAGTGTGGACACGGACAGGGACCATTGCACCGTTGTCATTGTAGTATTCAACAGTAACCTGAGTCTTGCCATCAGGTCTTAGCCAAGGGCAGGTGCCATTCTTCCTAACTTCAGTGAGGCGAGCCCCGAGCTTGGTGGCAAGTACATGGCTCAAAGGCATATACTCAGGGGTCTCATCGGTGGCATAACCAAACATATGGCCCTGGTCACCAGCACCAATCTCCTCTGGCCGCTTGGTAAAGTGACCGTGGACACCCTGGGCAATATCAGGGCTCTGCTGCTCAATGTTCACCAAGACTTTGCACTTGTCAGCATCAAGACCAACATCATCAGAAACAAATCCAATGTTACGGCATGTGTGACGAACAATCTTTTCGTAGTCTATCTTGCCCTTGGTGGTGTTCTCTCCGAAGACCATGACCATGTTGGTCTTTGTACATGTCTCGCAAGCAACCTTGCTGTCTGGGTCCTGCTCAAGGCAGGCATCGAGCACCGCGTCAGAGATCTGGTCGCATAGTTTGTCGGGGTGGCCCTCGTTCACTGACTCGGATGTGAATAGAAAGGTTTCCATTTTCTCAAGCTGCAGATCACAAAATTCACAAAAGACCTCTTAATATAGTGACATGTGGCAACTGTGTGCTTAATTACTATGGCAGGCAACATTCCATCTACGCGTAGGAATACGGGGAAGAAAGAGCCAAAAATATCCTCAAGATTGATATAGATACTTCGTACTTTACATAACAAGTTACAAGAGGGCATAATCCAAGTACAAGAAATGACAAAATCTCAAAAGTCTATACTCTTGAAAGAGAGCAATAAAAAAGGAACAAAGAAGAAATTAGATTCCTTTAGCACTGGAATGAGATAGATTCCTATAGAATCACGCTTGTCAAAAAAAGAAGTTAAGAAAACAACCCAACAATAGATCTACCGACAGTAAAACTCAGGTATTAACAAGCTATAGTGAAAGTACCGAACGGCAAACAAAAATATTAGCTTCACGCACAGAGTGAAATTCAGGGGTGCATCGCACAGTTTACAACAGTTTCTTTTCTACCATTAATCAAACGTAGAGACCCCAAACGTGCCTCAATTACTTGTAGAAGTGCAAAGTTAGCTTTTTCTTGGCATAGCTTGTTAATCCAATTGTACGATAGAAATTGATAAGAAACACCAGATCTAAGCTACTCACACTGAGACGATTATGATTGCGACCATAAATGGTCCATTCCAATTATAAAAAAACATTTTTCGACTCCGCTGGATATATTTCTAAACACTTTTAACCCTAAGAAATCTATCAAATTGTAAATAAAAACCAGATCTACTGCTCTCTACTGCAATGTTGCAAGTAAAACACATGCCAAATTTAATCTTCCAGACATCATGTACCGCACCCACTGACATTCAAAACGAAATCTTTAAAGCCACGCGACAAGAAGAGAGCAGAGCAAACCAAACTGATTAAACTAATAGATTAAAAGACCAGCAAGTACCCAGATCTGAAACTGTCTGAACCAAGTTCGCTCCAAAACTAGAGACCACTATTTTCAATTTGAAAACCAGCATTAACATTCATTTTTCTAGAGTTGATAAACAAAAGCCATAAAGAGAGAGCATGAATGCTAAATATAGAAGAGAAAGAGCAACGAGATAATACCTTAGACTAGAGTAACCCGTACAGATCTAAAGAAAACCTCAAAACTTTGTCGGCCTGTGTCTGTGTTTCTAACCAGACCTAAAGATTTCTTAGGCAGTGGTACAATAAAACGGCTTTAGTTACTCTGTATTTATAGACTAACTACCCTACCAACTGGTTACCGGATGAGGTGGTTTGGATTCTTTTAAATCTACGGAGGAATCTGTATCTTGTGGTGCTAATTACTTAAAGGGCAAAACATAGCCGTTGGATGTCAGACTTTGGGGGCTGGGTTGGTGGGAGATATTTTTTTTTTTGTTTTTCATCGTCATAAAAAAAATAAAGTAATATATTTTTCAAGGTGTTGAAAACTGTGTGGCAGTTTTCTTTAATTACATTTGAAAAACTATATGATGCTTTTTTTTACCAGATTTTTTGTTCCAAATTCAATATGAAGTCTTAAACATCTTAGATTATGGACTGAAATTGCATAAAAACTGATAGTTTGGTAGAATCTAATTATATATCATACAATTTAATAGACTGAATATTAAATAAAAAATCAAAGAATATAATAGGTTATTTGATCGTGATTCTAAGGGGATATTCAATTATGAATTTCACTAATTCAAGGGTCGAGTATATTTTTAAATTTCTTTTATTGTTTTTTAATATTTAGCGTTATTCTTTGAGAAATACTGTCTTTGAAAATATATTAAAAAAACACCATAGTCAGACCCGCCTTGGCTGGTTGCCGATGATGATTTGTTTTGTTTATTGATTGAAATAACCGGGATGACTAGTTACTCACCAAACTTAGCCGGTAGCCGGCTCAGTGACTTTGAGTCATGAGCTTCGCTCTTTAGATTCAGGTAACTGATAATGATGTGAATGGCTGGTTAATCCCACGCGCAGCATGACGCGTTACTGCATCAGCATGGAGGTTTATTGCTGGTGGTCCTCGTTCATCAGCGAAGCTTTCTCTAGGTGATAGATGGGCAAATGGTACCACCGTAGATGATGATGATCGATAGACATTGCCCCGTTTATTTTGGTGGTTGTAAGGAGTTTTTTTTTTAATTAAAGTTATTTATTATAGTTTAGTTTTGTTTATATTTTTAGATTGTTTTAATATGTTAATATTAAAAAAATTATAGACTATAAGATAATATTTTCATTATACAATTTCTTTATTCCTCTGAGTTTTTTTTTTATTATTCTTTAGATAACGGTTGAAAATTGTGTTTGAGTCACACGCAATACAGAAATCAGGACCGTTTTCTTTATTTTCTCATCCCCTCGTTAGATCAATGAGAATTCTATGTAGCCCAATAAAAGATGCACACAAATTAGGAAAGTCCACGTGCCAACCGTACAAATACTATATATAAATAACATGTGTGCACTCAACAAGAACAATATGATAATTGACACCTACAACGACTCAATTTTCAAAATAAGCTTAAAATAATATTAAAAAAAAGGTTAGAATCGGTAGGGGGTTGGTAAGCATCACCATCTTTAATAGTACTGTGATTGTGTTTGAAAATAAATTTTTTAAAATAATTTTTATTAGAAAATATATATAAATAATAATTTTTATTTTTAAAAATTATTGTTAATATTATCATATCAAAAAAATTAAAAAATATAAAAAATATTTTTATATAAAAAAATAAATATCATCCTTTATTTTTTAAAATGCAACACTAAACGAGGAAAAAATCAGAACCCTGAGCTCCTTTTTCAAGTTTGACTGTGGATGGAGTTTGGTCACCAACCATGTAGCGAGCCACTTGCTTTTATCATTTCTACATTATGGCTAAAAAAACAAGAAGAAGGAGCTCAAGCCAGTTGGGCTCAAGCCGAATGGGATTTTAGCCTAATAAATTGACGTGGCAACAACTAGGCAAGGCGGCAAGTACAAGTGGGGCAGTTGGGATTTTTTATGGGCTAGGATGGGGGGTGCGGTTCACACCTATAAAAAGCTGGAATTCCAAAAAGGCTGGGCTCACCGATTACCGGATAGTGCCTGTCTTCGGTACGGTGAGCTGACTTGTCAGGTGGCAGAGACCCTTCGAAGAGGTAAAACATTTTGGCAGATTTGGGATTATACTTTACACTATTATTTAATTGTATTATTACTGCAGGTAGGATTGACTTTTTTAACCTAAAACAATATTTAAATGTTATTAATATTGTTTTAATAAAAATATTTAAACTATATAAAAATTAATTTAATATAAACTAATTAAATTTACAAATCAAAAAACAATCTGAACAAGCTTGAAATACATAATTTAACTATAAAAGTTTTAAAATATTTTTTTAATATTAAAATAATAACACAATGGACTAAGTTGGGTTAATATATCAAATTTATAACTTAAGTTATCAAACTATAATGATCTCATAAAAAATAAATTAAAATAAATTAAAAAATTAAATTTTTGATTAATATAATATTGAGTGATAAAATTAAACAACAAATCTATCATAAAAGGACCTGAAAAAGCAACTCCAGTTCATTTGTCATCCGCAACTCAGGTCATCAAACCGAAATAATTTGATATAAAATAAATAAAAATAAATTACCAAATGCAATTCCCAATCAGTCTGGAGAAGGATAAGATTAAAAAAAATCAATTAAGAAAAGAATATAAAAAACAAACTTAATCCGCTAAACCCATAAAAAGCAAATCAAAACAAACTATAGAGCTCAATTCTCAATTGACTTTCTCGGATCCAATGTTGAATGATAAAAATTGTAAAAAATTTAATAAAAAATAACAAAAAAATAAGCCAAGTTAATGTGAGTTAACTCATAAAGCATGAATCTTGGATCATGAGGTTGAGATAACTTAATAAAAAAAATCATAAAATTTAATTTTAATCAAATATGATATTAAATGATAGGATTAAAAAAATAATAATTAAAAAGAAAAAAAACAAGTCAACTATGTTGATGTACGAAACTTGCAACTTAGATTATGAGATGAGAACAACCCAATATAAAGCAAATCCAATGTTGAAGGATCTAGGATTCAGGTCATGAGACTGAAATATTATTTTAGAAAGAAAATAAAAATAATCTAATTTAACTGGTGTTAAAATATCAAAATTTGTGATCCTAATCATGAGACTAATATATTATCATAAAAAGCAAGTCAAAACTCGCGATCTTGATCATGAAACCAATATTTCCTCATAAAAAGTAAATCAAAATATACTACGAAGCTTAATTTCCTACCGATTCAATGTTAAATGATGAATTTAAAAAAAAATCAATTAAGAAAATAATATAAAAATAATTCAAATCAACTTGTATTAACATGTTAAGTATTATATCCGGGTTATGAGGTTAAAATAACCCAATAAAAAGCAAGCAAAACAAATTATATATCTTAATTCCCAATCAATTCGATATTAAAGAATGAAATTAAAAAATAAAAGTTAAATAAAAAGACCCGAGTCAATCGGGTTAACCTGTTAAACCATTTATTTATCATAAAAATGAGATAACTCAATAAAAAACAAATCTAATATTAAATAAAAAATTAAAATAATAATTAAAAAATCAAACAAAAAACAAACAAAGTATTATTAATGAGTAATGTTTTGTGAGGAGGTTGTAATAAAAACCATTCTTCAATTGAAAAATTACAAAAAATAATGCAAGTTAATTTGGTTAATCCGTTAGGTATTATTCTTTAATTATGATATCAAAATAATTTAATAAAAAACAAATAACATAAATTATAAAATTTATCTTTTAATTAACTTAATATATTAATTAACCAAATACTTTTAAATATTAATCTAGAATAAAATATAAACAAACAGAGTCTATCAAAATTAGTTTTTAGAAAACGATGAAAGTAAAACAATATTTTTTTAAAAAAAATAGTATATATAGGGAAACGCTAAAGTCTCTAACTATGGCTTCTTAAGATATTGTAGTATTTTTGTCATTGTGTTATTTAAAAAAAAAATTATTTGTGCTAGTTTTCTCATTTTATTTTTAAATGTGTTAATTTAAAAGAAAAAAATCCAAAAATTCAAAGGAGGTTGGTAGAGAAAAAGAAAGCATTAGCTGAATCCCATTAATCAAAGAGTGGAAAAATAATAACAAAAAAACAAGAAGCATTGTGCAATGACGTGGGAAAGAATAAGCTAGGTGGAAAACATGATGATGATGACGTGTTCCTGGACGTTTGTTGCTTTTTGTTGAAGTTTGGTGGGTATTATAGTTGTGGTTATTTTTTAAATAATTTTTTGTATTAAAATATATATTAATAATTTTTGTATTTTTTATTTAAAAATTATTTTTAATATCATATATTAAAATAATTTTAAATTTTAAAAATATATAAATTTAAAATAAATAAATAAATTTAAATATTTATAAAAATAAAAACAACCATATCCTCTTAAAAAGTGAATTCAAGTGATTAGTCACTCTAATTATTCCTAAACATCCTTTCCGCGATCATGTATCATTATTTTTAACACTTTAGTTGATGTGTCCATTGTACCCATGGGCCATAGACTATTAAGGACAAAATGTCTACCGACTCCTATATAATATCCACGCAACCAAATTTATATTTAAAGCTTTTATTATATAATAAGCTAGGTGGGAAACATGATGATGACGACGTGTTCCTGGATGTTTCTTGCTTTTTGTTGATGTTTGGTGGGTATTATAGTTGTGGTGGTTAATATCATATATTAAAATAATTTTAAATTTTAAAAATATATAAATTTAAAATAAATAAATAAATTTAAATATTTTAAAAAATAAAAACAACCATATCCTATTAAAAATTAAAATAAATAAATAAATTTAAATATTTATAAAAATAAAAACAACCATATCCTCTTAAAAAGTGAATTCAAGTGATTAGTCACTCTAATTATTCCTAAACATCCTTTCCGCGATCATGTATCATTATTTTTAACACTTTAGTGGGTGTCCGGGTCAGTTTGCGCGCACCATTATTTTTAACACTTTAATTGATGTGTCCATTGTACCCATGGGCCATAGACTATTAAGGACAAAATGTCTACCGACTCCTATATAATATCCACGCAACCAAATTTATATTTAAAGCTTTTATTATATTAGTAAATTCGTGTG